AAAAAAAAAAAAAAATCAATTTGACCACTGATCTAAAATCTAGTATGACCTCCACTGAGGATGGGTCAATATTCTTTTATTTCTCAAGTAATAAATCAAGCTGCCAAAACAGAAGAAATGCAGAAAAATACGTGACAGGATAGCAGACCAGGTTTTGTACAATGTAAGATTATGATCATCACAAAGGCAGTTTCTTTCCAATCCAGAATGTGAATCATATTTAATAAGATCAAGGGTGGAAATACATGAATTTAGTTTTATGCATGTAGGAATAGCCTAATTCTAGGATCTGTTAAAAAAAAAAAAAAAAAAAAAAAAAAAAAGAAAAAAGAACAGCAGATTTAAAAAAAAAAAAAATAGCATTTACAGAACTTTAATAAAATCATCTGAGAAAGGAGCTGAATCTTCTTCACCCAAAAAGACAATAGAAAAAAGCGTTTAAGATTTCAAATACATAGAGTATTATGAACAAAGTTTTCAACTCTCCTGTCAGAGGATTAAAAGAAAAAGCTAAAGCTTCAGTATTGTGAAGATCCAGAAAGAAAAAAATACTTCAAATTAAGAAGAGTTATTTTAGAATAGCTGCCAAGAAAGACAGCAAAATATCCTTTCCCTTTTGCATTGTCACAAGCTTCTTAGTAGCTACCAAGTTAAGTGAATTTGATTATTTGAGCATGGGGTTTAGATGAGATGAACTCCTCAGCCCTGAAGCTCTACAATGGTGTGAGCACAGGAACATCCATACCAATTTCACTGCAGATGAAATGAAGAAGGGACCACATGTCCGGAAGATCAGGACCTCAACTGTAGACACGATTTGCTCTACTGAAGTAAGAAGGAACTTACCAATGGTAACTTTGCCTTGCCATCTTTGATGAACTCTTTTGCATGCTCATAATCATCAGGTTTATCAGAAACAAGCCTGGAATCACCAAATGTAGAATATGGCTGGAGAAAACAGGAAACAAAAAAAAATATTAATTGCATACATTAATCACATCAGTCAAGGGTTTGTCACAATGTAACCCAGAGTAGAGGTCAATAATTATTAAGAGGACCTTGAATTCATATCTCTCCTCTATAGCACCTGCAAGATCAGGTCTGATACTGCCTACTTCCCAGAAAATCTGCCACCCAGGATTTATAAAACTAAATTTTATCCTTATGTCTCCAAACAGGGGAAACAAAAGAACTACTAAAATTACACTCTGTATACAGCTCATTCTGAGTATGACCCATTAATCTTTTAGAACAGCAACTGAATAAATCAGCATCTCTTAAGCAGAAGTACTAAGAAATGAGCAACTTTAAGATTTCAAGCAGAATACTTAAAATGCTTCAGTAACACCCAGGAGCTGCAACAGAAATATACAACTGATTCTTCAATGCTAATATACACTTATGTCCTGGTTTCCACTGGGATAGAGTTACTTTCCTTCCTAGTAGCTGTGCAGTGCTGTCTTTTGGCTTTAGTCTAAGAACAATGCTGACAACACAACAATGTTTTAGTTGTTGCCAAGTAGTACTTACCCTGATCAAGAATTTTTCAGTCTCTCATGCTCTGCCAGTGAGGAGGGGCACAAGAAGTCAGGAGGAAGCAGAGACAGGACACCTGACCCAAACTAGCCAAGCACGTCATACCCAGCATATAAACTGGGTGGAGCTGGCCAGAAGGGACTGATCACTGCTCAGGTTGGGCTGGGTATCGGCCAGCAGGTGGTGAGCAATCGTATTGTGCATCACTTGGATTTTCTGAATTTTCATTTCGCCCGTGGTGCAGACCACAGTGGGGCAGGCTGTGCCCCTGCAGCCCATTGAGGACCATGCTGGGACAGATACCCACAGTGTAGCCCATAGCAGACCACATGCTGCAGCCAGTGGAGAGCCCACACAGGAGCAAGGTTGTGGCAGGAGCTGTGGCCTATAGAAAGCAGCCTAACCAGGAGCAGGTTTTCTGGCAGGAGTTGCAATCCCATAAAGAATGAACCCACCCTAGGGCAGTTTGTTCCTGAAGGGCTGTACCCCATTTTCGTGGTTTAAGCCCAGGCGGTAACTTGGAACCACACAGCTGCTCGTTCACTCCCCCCAATTCTTCCTCCCCTCGCTCCTGGAGGGATGGGAAAGAGCATTGAAAGAATGTAACTCCCACAGGTTGAGATAAGAACAGTCCAGTAACTAAGGTATAATACAAAACCACTACTGCTACCACCAATAATAATAATGCTAAAGGAAATAACAAGGGGAGAGGATACAATTGCTCATCACCCACTGACCGATACTCAGGCTGACCCGAGCAGCAATCTGACCTTCCAGGTAACTCCCCCCAGTTTATATACTGGGAGACAGCACACACTGGAGCAGTTTGTGAAGACTGTATCCCAATGGAGGAACCATGCTGGAGGAGGGTTAAAGTGTGAAGAAGAAGGAGAAGCAGAGACAAAGAGTTACTGACTGACCACAAACTCCATTCCCCATTGTCCTGCCCCACAGGATGGGGAGAAGAGGTAGAAAGGTCAGGAGTGAAGCTGAACCTGGGAACAAGCAGTGAGTGGGACAAAGGTGTTTTAAGGTTTGGTTTTCACCATTCTACACTTTTTTCCTTTTTTTGGTAATAATTTAATGAGTCTTCACCACTTCTAGTCTGTTTTGCACATGACAGTAACTGCTAAGCAATCTCCCTTTCTCTATCTTGACCCAGACAGGTCATCATCTTCTTTTCGCTCTGCATTTTGTTGGGAAGAGGTAACAGGTGAGCAGGTTGGTGGTGTCTGACAGCCAGTTAAGGTCAACCACAGTCGCACTTTCAGCCACAGGAGTTTAGTTTTTCTGTTGGTAGCCCTTAATTAACCACACAGTATTCACAAGAGGAATTTTAATTATTGCACAAATAATTAACAAGATGTAAAATACTATTTAAATGAAACAACTTAACTCTGTATTTACCTCCAAGGCCTGCATTCTCCTTAACAGCATTTTATGCTCCTCATTCTTGATTTTTTCTTCATAAAATTCCCGAAATGTCATTTTGTAGACTAATTTCATACCATGCTTCTTCGCCATTCTATCAAAATAATAACCTTAATTAGGGAAGCCATAAAATTATTGTAGTTTTATTTTCAAAGCAACAATTTTAAGCCACAGTGACATCTTATGGTATTCACTAGGATTACATTCTTTCTAGAATTTGTTTTCTTAGTAGACATTTAAATTAAAAAAAAAAAAAAAAAAATGCACTACAACCATAAACTGTACCACACAGAATTAATTTAAAAATGTTTTAATAGAAAAATGTCTCTTCTCCCAAAACACAGAAATAAGGTCTGTCTGAACTTCCAGATAGACTACATAAATTTCCCTGAAGTATCACCATCTTGACATGTAACATATTACAGATATGAACCTTTCTCTAGCAGATTTAGTGCCTTACATCTCAATTATATGTAGGCCCCGTGGTCATACAATACTGAAGTTACAGGTGTCAGTGACAGATGCTAGTATCTGTCATAGAGAACTACAAATTAAGTGTGTGAAAAATACACAGGTTTGAAGGAAAAGCTTAATAGTGTTTAACTGCCATACTGGGCTTGAATGACTTGAAAACATACAACACTGAAACATTTGTCTGTACCCCAGGAGACATGCTGGGAAAGGCAAATCTGAATTCACACAGAAGTAACAGCAAAATCCATGCTCACAGACGACTGTGATTTAGAGGAAATAAAAAGAAGTTGTAGGAAAGATCCTATGAACATCTGAAGAAAGCTGGAGAAGACAAGAGGCACAATGATGAAGATGACATACAAGGCGGCTTGCTGAAGGACTAACCAAAGTTATTCTAAATAACTTCTATTCTAAATTCTAAAGAAAGGTAGAATGAATCAGACAGCACTAAAAGTTTGCTTACAGATCCAATATATCATAGAATCAACTAAGTTGGAAAAGACCTTTAAGATCATTAGATACAGGCATTCTCATGTGAAATCTAGTTTAAGTCTTCACAACTTCTGACCAGAGCATCTTCAACTGAGTGCAATGGACAGATCACAGTTGTGGATGGAAACACAAGTAACCACTGCATTTGGAGTAACAACAAAAAATTATGAACTGAAAAATATAAGAAAGGCAAAATATAATGTTCTGCAGGTATTACACAATGACACACAAACTAAACAAATGCTTATTATGTTTCACAGCTTTCATTGTATAATGAATTCAAAAACGTAACTTACTCTTCTAGCAATGGGAAGTAAACCAAGAACTCAGGGACATCAACCACTTCTTCCAAGTGGAAATCATACTTGCAGCCAAACAAAGGATATTCTCCCTTCTTTTCAAATTTTACACTGTACACATCATTCCCAAATGAATTTGTTTCTGAAGCTTCAAGTCGCTTTCTATAAAATGAGATATAATCAACATTAATTGACCAGTTTTTAATTTAACAAGCATAGAAAACTAAGCATAAGAGGTCTGAAAGTGTTTATCCCAATACTACAGCATTCAGCGATCTCTGTAGCTTCCCACCTCCCTTATCTAACAAAGCAAGGAAACAATGAAATTAGAAGACTTCCCTTTGTTTGCACAAACGTATCAGAGCACTGTAACAGTGATTATCACTTAACAATGCTTCACAGACTTTTGAACAACTAATAGAATATAAAAGCACTTACACAAGTTCAAAGCTATTTGGAGTTGTGCCAATGAAATACCCTCCAGGAGAGAGGTTCCCACAAGCGTTTTTAAGCATCATGTCAGCCTGCTCGTATGTCTCAAATGAGTAATGGTAAACAAACTGACAGCTGCAAATGTCAAAGCACATGTCTGGATCACTGTATTTAGAAGACAAGAGATCCTGAAATAGATTAAAAAGAAAAAAAAAAAAAAAAACACGAGTGTAACAAAAGCTACAAAACCACACATGATTCAATTAAATCTTCCAACAAATACACTACTCCTATAATTCTTCTAAATTTTTCCTTTCAGACCCCATTCCTTTACAATTGCAACAAGAACAAGACAAAAAAAAGTAAGAGAAAGGCCTCTGCTACACAGAAAACCATGCACAACATCAGGGAACAAGAACACACACGCATTTCAAAGTTATCAACTCCTCAAATTCCTCCCATGTTTTCAAGTAACACCACCACACCTGAAAGGCCAAAACCCAAGGTTAGTTACCTAATAGTTTCCAGAGATATTTTAGTGCTGAGGGTTTATAATCAGTCACTATTCTAGCTGGAAACAATTATAAAATTAATTTTCTGTTTAGTAAGTCTCTGTCACGAGAACTGAGCCATTAAACATATGATTGAGAGAAACAGGAGTTAAGTGCAGCACTTTGCACTGCCCACCAAGCTGTATTTGTCTGTATTCTCACACACATACATACATGTGTACCAACATACCCCTCCCCATCCCAGATCAAGTAACCAGTAACTCTGAAGAGCTTCAGAGCCCTTGAAATCTGTCAGGTTAAAGCTTGCCAGTTTGACCCTGTATTCAGCAGCTCTCTAATTCTTCTTGATGAGGCTTCCTTTATACAATACTACTAGCCACCATAAGTAACACAGGAGCACACAAATTCTCCACAAGGCCCATGATGTGCATTCTGTACTAAAAATATTTCATACTTAACAGTTCTACCCGAGTTTTCTTCTCTCCCAGACTTCCATCCACCCACTCACTCCCAGACTCTATCAGTTCATCCCACACACTGTCAACGCTCTGTCTGTGCCAAGACAAAAAACGGACACATCACATACCCATAGCAATTTATCTGTTCATTTACTCCCCCCTCCACATTTTGAGAAAGTAACGGGAAACAGAAACAGAGGTGGACAGCATTAGACAAGCTGTGAGAATGAGATTTTGCACTATATATGATTACAGAGATAAGAAGTCAGGGAGATGAACTTCTGGGTGCACGGACAGGAAGGACAAGGCATGCAACAAAAACAGATGCATATATAAGACTGAGCTGTAATAGCAACACTGAAATATCCCTTTCTTTCCTGGCCAAGGCTCTTTCCTCTCTCTCCCAAGTTTGAGCTGAGAGGAACCTGCAACAGACTGTATTCTTGAGAAGGAGAAGCAACCAAGAATTCAAGCAAACAACCCTTCCTGCAAGGCTAGGAAGAACAGGTTCAGCCTTTCCACAGACATGCTGGAACCAGGTAGGCTCTGGCCTTCAGCCTGCATTTCTACAAAGCAAAAGCAGTGCTGGTTACAAGACTGTCTCCTAAGCCTCAGTAATGTAATCACCATCACCTCTAGACAGCCTAAGAAATCTGCTCTATTAGACAAGTTTTGAAGATATGTATTACAGTAATTAAAATGCTGCTAGAAACAAAAAATAGTGGGATAAGCAGAATGTACAAGTCAAATCAGAAAATGTCCCCTATTCCTTCCAGCATAAACACATTCTGCTGGCTTACAGAACTTCAGCGGTAAGTAATCATTCCCTTCCTCTTGTCAACTGAAAGGAACTGAAAGCAGATTTATTATCTGAGAAAGACATTCAGGCTTCAAGAATGTAACACTGTAAAACAGTAATAAAACACACTTAACTACATCTTAACCCAACTTTCCAGTAACCCATTTCGCTGATTCTCCTGACAGTACAACAATCTGATCTTGAAAATATACATGCCCAAAATATTACCACTTCCTACACTTGCTTTACAAAAGAATGTTAAATCTCCAAAATATTATAAAGCATAGGAACTGTACCTTGGTACTATCTGCTTGTATAAACTCTGCATCAAAAATATGTTCATTATAACGACATCGCGCTTTCATGTCTTCATATCGCTGCTTGCACTGTTGCACAGAAATGTCAGCAATATCTGTATATGGAGAGAGAAATTTTCAAAAACAAATAAATAAACCAAACAAGTATGTAAACAACCACTTCTATATTTCCAGTTTCACAGAATTGTAGAATGGTTTGGATTGGAAAGAACCTTAAGAACATGTAGTTCCAACCCCCCTGCCATGGACAGGGGCACCTCAGCCTAGACCATGTCGCCCAAGGCTCTGTCCAACCTGGCCTTGAACACAATTTCTAGAACAGGAATTTAGTTTGCAGGAATTGTTCAGATTTATAACTCTTTGTGATTTTCAGCCTTTATTGAAAGACAAAAGTTGTAATCTGAAGATTTTAGAAAGCTCCCATCCTCAAGAGTGCAAAGTAAGCCTCCAAAATTTCAAGTAATGGTACCATGTGATTGATACTAAGTGCTGTCAGCACAAAGTGTCTAGTATGCATTAGCTAAAACAGCTCAGCCTTCAGTACCAAAAAGAAGTACTAAAAGCTCTCCATCTTTTTTCAAATATACAAGAAGTTGAAATGCAATTATTTCTGATATATACTGATATATCAGTATATATCATCACAGGAATTGTTTTTTAATTTTCTTTTTAAGATTGTTCCTCTCTCAGGCATCAAGTTTCACTGAATAACAACAGTTTGCACAAATCTTTAAACAATATACAGTAAATTTACATAAGAACTTTGTAAGTAAATTAATCAACTGTATTTGAAGACTGCCAATCGAACAAGGCAAGCAACAGCCATCCCAGAATAATTCACACTAAAAGAATGTTATGAAATTTTGGTATCTAATTAAATATGAAGTAATACTTCCTCTGATTATCCTTGGGAAAAAGGGAAGACAGTATCTCCCTCTCAACATCTAAGCAAACTACTTAAACAAGAGAGGTTTTTTAATCACTTTTCAGCTCTTCCTCTTTCTGAGTCTGAAAATCTTCAGTTGATTCTTAACACCCAAGACCATTTTCTGTCACAACATTGTGAGGTTTATTTTCTTTGCTAATGCAACCTTTCTCTGTGTGTTTTCACGAGTTAAAGAACACTGCAAGATAGTATGTGGGAGAAATGACATGAAATACAAAACATCAGTCTTTTTCCCAGTGCTACACTTTGCCTAAGACAATCTGTGGCAATAGCGTGTCTCTTTAGTGATACTAGTTTTTAGTTACAAGTACGAAAAGCTATTACACAGAAAATCGAAATTTCTTATATTTATGCTGGCAATCAAGTTTATGTCTTCAGGTTAAAAGCCAAGGTAAGACTTTTTGACAGAAGGCATACCATTGCATTCTTGGGCTTACTAAAAGGAAATAATAAAAGACTGGAGATGTGCCCATAAACACTAATGTACTTTCCCTGGGAAGTTATTTTGTCTTCTTACCAGTACAGACAAGTTTTTTAATTCTGCCTTTTTTCCATTTCAGTAGGTCTCCACCTTTGCCACATCCTAGATCCAGAACAGCTATATCATTCTTTTTCCGTCGTACCCGGTCTATAAATTCACCTAGAAAAATAACAAGAGAGAACTCACATACAGGTCTCTGTAAGTCACTTGTATTGTACAGAGAAGCCTAAAGGACCAAAAGGTTGTGAGATTTTTAAAACATCTCAAAATTCATTTAGCCTAGAAGTCTTCTTAGCATTCAACTTACATCTCTCTTTCTAGAAATCACTAATGATGAAAGGATCAACAACATTTTAAAACTATGGAGAAGTTAATGAATATTTTCTGTGCTTAATGTGCTTTGCATGTAATGTGTCTGGAGCACTGAACTGTTTCGCTGGCAGACAAAGGCAAAACTGCACATCACTAAACCACCACCCTGTGTGTGAGTAGGCAAACAGGGTTCCCTTTCATTACCATTATAATGAAGGCAGATGTTATTTGAAAGTATGGGAAAGCCTTTTACAGAAGAGTAAAAGCCAATTAAATGCATCAGCCACAACATTTCCTTGTGGTCACATTACATAAATGCATGATGTTTTCCACTCACTCTCCTAGGCCTTGCAATAACACTAGGTACTTGCTTGCTGTCTTCTTGCCCTACATATACCAGTTTCATTTTTTCTTCTATCTTCACTCTGCCTAGATTATCTCTGACTGATGTTGGCATACTACATGAAACATATCTGAATGCTAGCAACTTTTCTTTGCAGTAAGAGACATGAAATATGTTCTGATACATCTACAACACACTACTGAAATTCATCACAACTGAAAGTCTTCAACACAGGCTTCAGGAACAGCTTTCTATAAATCTAAATATTGCTTCCAACTGCTCTGACACAACACAACAAAAAGCAGCATACTGAGACAAATGGTGCCAACGTCTCCTGGCATAGATCCCTCTTCATGAATCTGTGGTGTCGTGCCGATTAATTCATTTCTTTGTTCGCAGGTATCTGAATGGCTTCGTTTCCTCACTTTCAAATTAATTTGTGGGACAGCAGACATTGCCTTTCATAAAAAGCTGCTGACTATATCCTCTAGTTTTTAATCTTTTACACTGTTGACAATAGGCAATACAGAAAAATATCTGCATTCAAGTTTCCTGCAAAATCACTTAATTGAGACCCAAGGACAGACTGTTTTAGGAAAAGGCTAAGAAGTTATTTGAGATACATTTAAATAACAAGAACAGGTCAATCTAAGAAGGGCAGATTCTTTACAATTTAAAGCTGTACCTTTCTCTTTAAAAATGTCACAAAGAACAGCTTCCAGTATGAACTTTTTCTAGGTTTGAGGTCAGTTGATCTTTAAACCTTTAGCACATATTTGGCACTCCAACAATAGTATTTTACTGCACTTGAAAATCTTACTATGTATTAAGAGACAAGGTGCCACAATCAACAGAGAGCAGAAAAAAAAAAAGCTACATTTTGACACAAAAATTAGTTAGATTTTATGAAAGTCTAAGTGATCAGTTAAGGAAGCTTACCAATGAGGACGCTCTTTGTCCAATTATTAAAGTTTCGGAGGTAGAATATGCGAGACTGGCTACGTTTTTCCAATCCAACTTCCTGAAGCTCATTATAATGTGCAGCTACAGCTTGCCCATGGCCTACCTTATGCTGTAGAAATGAGGGAAGGAATAGACTCAAGCAGTGAATTCTTAAAAGATACAAGTTCATTTTAAGGATTTAAAAAAGTAAACAAGTAATACTACGAAAAGCACCATCACCATATATATATAAAAACATTTTCTGTATCTGTCCTGGTACTGATGTCAGCACTTCCCATTATCACAGAGACAACTCCCTTAAAAATTTTAATCCCCTTTTCAACTGGCCTGAGTAATTTCTGACAGATGAAGCCCAGCATCTTTTCTTCACAGAAATACTTAATTTTCAGTTCTCTAATACTCTCATCACTCTCAAGCTATCAGTTTCATTCCCCCAAGACTGAGATTGAAGAGGAGGATGTTCCTTCTCAAGGAAGTTTAAACTTCAAAAATCCTGTTTGAGAAATTAAGTGTTTACATCTAACAGAAGTGTATAAACTGCCAATTTAACCAAAGTGTCAACTAGCTGACGTTGCATAAAGACCCAAGAGGATGATCCCACTGCCACATCTGTAGACAGACTATGGTAATGGAATAAGAGTAATGACAACGTATCCCATTCAATGCTTAACAGTTAGCTGTCTCTGGTTTAGCCTTAACAGCAAATACTCCAAGAGATTTGACCCACGTGACACAGAGAAGGAGTTCTTCACCTTGAAAATAATCTTCAATTATATGCAAAAAATCAAAGCAAATAAAATAAGAATGTGAAAAACCAATACAATTTCTGTGAGGCGCAACAGTGTTTTAAGTAACAGTACAAACTAGAATGAACGATTCTCAGTTAAAACCCACAAACATGCTACAAAGCCCCGGACACTATGAATTCACACAGCAATTAAAAGCATTCCCCACAGCTGACTACAAAAGTCAACATCTAAGGATTTTATTATTCAAATAGCAGTTCCTCAAGGGAAAAGAAGGTTTAAATAACTTTAATATACTACTTGAATGCTTTAGTGTTTCCCATCATTTTGGTAACCTTCAGACATCCTTGTCTGGAATTCTTATGACCCCATCATCTGTTTATTACCACACTCAGCTGACATACTAATAAATATTTTGATCATTTCTCATCTTTTTTAGGGTAGGCACAGATGGCTCCCTGAATGGCTACTGAGGGTGACGTAAATGAGAACGGCTGACTTTGACAAGTGCAGAGGACACATTAATACAATCCATTAACACATCTCAGCTGCTGCAACCACAGATGCAAACAGCCATCAGCAACAACATCTAGATGCTGGCAGCTGCGCTCAATGCAATCACCTCTCTACTCCCTCAAGCTATGCAAAACCAATGTATTTCTTGTCCATCTAAACCATAACGCAGAGCTACTTTATTAAAAATATGACAGGGTTAATAATACTTCTACCACAACAAAGGGGAGACTTTATTTTATTTTATTAGATTGCTTAGCTGTAAGTTAACATCCTGGAAAAATTTTTCATGGAGAAACAAAACATTTGGTCAAAGGCATTTTCGAATTGTACTCAAATATCCCAAAAGGTCAGAATTAGACAGCACTGTTTTCTACAACCTCATACATAATAAAGGACAGCATCATATTACCTTTTTTACCCTCCCAGTTAAAAGGACAAATGTTTTCTGCAGTCTTCAAACAAAAAAGCATCTGTAAACTTTTCAATATTTCACTTTGCTAACAAAGCATATTGAAATTATATCACAGATGATGCAGTTTGTAAAGTCTTCTAAATTATATAATACGTTACTGAGGAAATGAAAGGACAAAATTATCTTATGGGAGAACCTCAAATGCACTATACTAACACAGAGGAAAACAACATACAAAACATACAAATTCAAGATATGGGAGTTGGACTAATGCCAGTAAGTCCTATACTGCCCTACCAGATTGCTACCACACAGGGGACAGAACAATAGTCTAAGAATTGGAGTAAGCATATGCTGAGGTCAGTTCTCTCAACATTCTAGTTACTAGCTCTCCTTCTCTCCCGTTAAGCTCAAACATAACTTCTGCACCTGTCATTTTGCTAGGAAGCTACCCACAAACTTTGACATTTGGTGTTTCATGCTGGTTCACATATGTTTAGTATAAATATTTTCAATCTTTTCTTGAGCTAAGGCTTTAAAACAAGGATTTGAACATAGCTCAAAATAAATAATACTCACTGCTTTCTTAGGAGGTCCATCTTCAGAGTCTAAATTTCTCCCTTTTGCTGTGCCATCCTGATTACCATTATCGACTTCTTTTTCATTTGCAGTGGAATGAACTGTACCTGAAGTTGAACTATCGCCTTCCTGACTAATACCTGAATCTGCCTCTAAAGTACCGGGTGTTTTCTCCACTTCTTCATCTAAACTCTTCTCTACTTCCTGTTCTTCAGTGTTGGTTAAATCAGCCATTTTTAACAAGTGAGTCTCCTCGTCCATTGATCAGAATGGAAGCCTGTAGAGGGAAAAAAACAAAACAAACCACCAACAATTTTCAGTGTTGAATTTTATTTACTTCTGGTTACAATCATGACTTTCAATTGTAATGCTGGCATTATAAAAAATAACATGCCTTTGCCCTACAAAACATATAGACTTCAAATTTGACTAGTTATTTTCTAAAGATAGCACAACAAAATATACACAATTTTAAAGCACTGTCATTACAGGAAGATCAAATTAAGATAAATCTTTACTCTTCATGTTTGACACTCTTAGCTATCTTTATTGACTCAACAGCAACATGCTATTGGTTTTGAACCTGTAATCTCCCTTTTCCCCTCCCCATAAAAAGTAAACTACAAACCACTTTATGTTTAGAAACACAAGCTGACCGAGTCCCTCAAATTAGTAAATTCATTATTTAATCTGTTTTCAAATGGATGCCCTCAAACAAGAAAATCAAGGTGCTTCTTAAGAGCAAATTTTCATATCAGGAGTGGATTTTCAAGTTTGCCAAGAATATTCACTATGCCTCAAGCCTCACCAGTACTGGGAATCTTCAGCTGTAACTGCATTTCGTTATCTCCACAAACATTTATACAGTCTGTAGGACAGCAAATCACTGCTACTTGGCCCATTCAGCCTCCAGCACATCCCAGCCTTTTTTACACCATCATCAGCGAGCAGGACGCATACTTTGTAATATAGCTCAGCAGAGACAATTTGGCAACTCTTTCTTCTGAAACAATAGCTTATTTCAGTCTAACAAAAAACCATGCACACTCCACTGCGTACAGGCTTAAGCCTCCTAACGATGACCAAACGCATTAATTAAGCAGGCCACTTATACAGACACCAGAACAGCTTTCCTCAAAACAAGCGGCCTCAAAGCACGACCTAAGGAAACATCTACTACACTACATCACTTAACTCACACTTCCAAATCAGCGCACCCTTTCTTAGCTTCACCGGGCTGTCCCAAGCAGTTTACCTGATGCTTTTAACGCCTAAACTTAGAAACTATCAGAATTTCGTAAGCAGAGGTGGCAACCGAATTCTCAGGGGCAGCTCCTTCAGAAGAGAGCTCGAAACGCGCCGGGGAACGGGACCCTGTGACCCCTGAAGTCGGCCGCGCAAGAAAGCGACAGTCACCATAGCTCCACCCCGCTAACGGGCCAAGGCCCTCAAGCCTTCTCGCTGACGTCAC